GGATATCGAAGAGCAATGGAGAAGGTCATCTACGAGTTCTACTCTACGACAGTTACGTATATGCCCACGTATATTTTAGGCAAAATGGTCATGCTACTCCATCAATCCTCCCTTACAAGGTTTGATATTTGCCATGTTGTTAAAGAATTGTACGACACCCGGACTTATTCAAATGAGACTGGAATATATCAATAGCTTTCCGCTGGTTATCGTCTAAGCCCTAGCTTGGCTTTTCAACGGTTCCGTTCAAGTTCTCGATCGGGTAAACTAGCAAACCTGTGTCGCTGTGTCGCTATTTCAGAATGGAGTCCCACCCTATACTGTACAACCGTCTCTCGCTTTAGGTGCTATGTGTAATTTTTTTGTATAAATTTTCACATGAGGCGACTAAGCAGTACGGGCCAAATTCTAGAGCAAGGGCATCCATACAAGCGAGAAGGGTTTTGGAGAGGGTCCACTATGATCGAAAACCTTCGAATATTTTCAACCCGATTTGAAGAAGGCCATTGATACCGTCAAGAAGAAGCTCATTTGGAGAATTGGGCAAGCAGGATTTTCTTAGTCAATTTTTTCTGACCAGAGCACTGCTATCGAAAGATTTCTAAGAAGAGCCTGTCCGTTCGTCCATTCCAGATTCTGAGAAGAGGATTTGGGTATTCCTTTTTTTGATTGAAGTGATATTTTTCATATTATCGATGGTAGAGTATCACATCCGCAAAATGATGACCTGATTGACTCAATGTGGCCGAATCCACCGTCTCTTCACACATGTACAGGGTGTTCCAAAATTATGCCCATGCCAAGATTTAGAAGTTTTTAAGAAAAAATGATTCATCAAATCACTTCACCCACTATTATTTAGTTGTATAGAAAGATTTTCTTGCAGTATGCATGACAGTGAAGCAAAATCCCCAATATCTTTCAGATGGCCGAGACTCATTCATTGCTACTCGCGATCATCAACTTGCAAGAGGCGTAAGGGGATTATGAAGTTTCTTGTGATTCCTATAATATCTATGTAGACGCTAATAAACGATACAGAGAAGAAGATTCGATCAAAAACTTACTGGGGAAAAGTAGATGGACCAGTGTTCCGCAAGATAAGTCTATTAAAATGGTCCGTTCGCGAGTCGATAGTGAGTCTGGGTGACCTATCAAAAAGACGGCAGAAGGATAGGACTTATTGAGATTGTCGATGGGGCGGGTTGTCAAGGAAGAGCTTCATTGCGATTCCAATCTTATGCAGGAACACCACTTTATTTCCAAGTTCAACAGATAGTGAGGGGTCAAAAAATGAAGAAGCCTACTAACTTACTTGAGTGAGGACCCGCAACCCTTCCTCGTTTTCCCTAGCTAGAAATGTTTACGGAGAAAACATTTCTCAACGAATAAAACGATCACATTCTGGCTGTAAGTATCGAATGTGCAACCCCACACAAAAGGTAGGCATAAGATCAGCGAAATGATGTTCTTTGAGGGAGTGAATGCAAGTGTGAGACACCGTGGGTCCGGGAACTTCTCCCTCGGCACGGCGTCGCACGCCGCACCCGCCGCGTATCGCTGGATTGTGATGGAAGATTGGAGCGCGCAATTTGTGAGGTAGGGAGTCCTTTAATTATTTGAATTGGCTGACCGCTTTCTTCAATTTCAATGCGGTCTTGATCGCCGNAGGCGGGTGAGTACGGCAATTGCAGTGACATTTGCCGCATGCCGCAAGGGGAAAATGCCGCGATAGGGGAGAAGTTCCGTTACCCAGACACCGTTGGTTTATTCGGTACCGACGTGAAAAGTAACAAAGACATGTGGTTAGAAAGCAACTGATTGACGTACTTAAGCACTGATCCGACTCCACTTCCTGCAACAGTTCGTGGTCCTTCCTACAGGATGGTACCCCAGCCTACAGCACCGAGCTCGCTCTTTAGTTTTGCCAACGCTAACTGCCCGACTTCATTAGCAAAGAGAGATGGTCATCCGGCTTTCCAGATCTTCACTCACTTGACTGCTCCGTATGGTCCCTGACTAGAAGAAGACCTCTCGGGTTTGCAGTCCCAGTTTGAAGTGGTAGAAAGCAAAACTCAAGAATGGCTGGCAAGAAATGGATGATGATACCTGCGTGCAAATGCGAAGAGTTCGGGAGCATATTTTGGGCTTCCAGTCACGCTCATGGGGGGAATTTTTAATGTGTTTGCAGCATGTTGTAGCACATGTTGTGAGCAAATGTGCGTATAGATTCCACTGTCATTCACGACTGAGAAGCTTTAAATAAATTGTCATGAACTGGCGCCCATCAGTTCGGGTCACGGTGTATATGTGAACACTCCTGGAAGTCCGAGGATAGAGAAGGCACAAATTGACCGTAGCCAGCAAAAACAGTGAGCCCATCCTCTGGACTCATCTCCGTCTCTAACGAGATATGTTTGTATTTGATTTAACTCATAGTCCAACTTGGCTTCCCCAACCGGCTAGTGAGTTTGTTTGAGGGGTACCTTATGTGAAGGGTAGGTCCGAGGTCCGTATTTCAGGCATGAGATAATGAATGGAAAAGTGAAGAAACGGAATTCAGATAGTTTATCCATCAAATATTTATTTTACATAAAGCTTCTTGGTTTCTCCGACTACCCAAAGAGCTTCAAAGACGGGTAGTATCCCACAAGCACAGATCGAGCCTTCTCTTCCAACGCATTGACGGCGTCAGTGATTCTGCAAAAGGTGTCATAAAACTTGCCAAAAACACAAAATTATCAAAGGTAATACTTCATGGATGCTTCTTTCTTGTCAATTTCTTTTTCACTCAGTCTGGTGAGTTGATCGATAACCTACAAGAAAAGAAAATTAGCGTTCACCCAAGAGCTCGTGAGGGTTTTCACACTCACCATTTGGAGGAAGTAATGGTAAGTGAGATAGAGGCTCTTTGAGTCCTGAAAGGTCTTCACCAACACCATATTTTCCGGATCAAACTGCAACAAACACTATCAAAGAGCGGATGCAAACATCCCACTCCCGCTATCCTACTTACAACATTACCTATAGTAGCTGGATTCCTCTACTCTCATACTTAAGGATCACTACATATCAAACATGAAGTGCAGCACTAACCAACTTCCGGTGTTCGAACTTGCTTAGTTTCATTCCAAACATTTCTTGGGACAGACAATCAAGCAGGTCCCCTCTGGAGCAATAACTATCTTTTTCCGAACTCGAGCTTTCTTTTGGTTTCCCGGTTCTTCGTTCATCTGGGGGTTGAGTTGTTTTATCCATGGGTCCACCATTTCGACCTGAAATGACAATTTTCATGTCTAGCTTGATTAACCTTCCTTCTTCTTTGAAGTCATCCTTACCTTCGTGCAAATTCGAGCTTTCTTTTGGTTTCACGGTTTTTCGATCATCTGGGGGTTGAGTTGTTTTATCCATGGATCCACCATTTCGACCTGAAATGACAATATTCATGTCTAGCTTGATTACCCTTC